AGGATTTGCCTCCTATTACCGTCGTTTTGTCAAACAGTTTGCCACCATAGCCAGGCCCCTGCACGCCTTGACGGCTAAAGGGGTGCGGTTTCACTGGGGGCCGGAGGAGGAGGCCGCGTTCTGCTCCCTTCGTGACGCCTTGGTGCAGGCTCCCCCCTTGTGTTACCCCGATTTCACGCAACCGTTTGTGCTCGACACGGATGCCAGTAACACGGGTATCGGGGGAGTGCTCTCACAGGTGGTCGGGGGGGTCGAACGGGTGGTCGCCTACGGTAGCAGGGTTCTGTCCCCCGCGGAACAACGCTACTGCGTGACACGGCGTGAATTGCTGGCGATTGTGTTTTTTATACAGCAATTCAGGCCGTATCTGTATGGCCGTCACTTTACGGTTCGCACGGACCATGCGGCTCTCCAATACGCTATGCGGGTGGCGCAGCCATCGGGCCAATTGTCCCGATGGTTGGAGGTCCTTCAGGACTACCAATTCACGACGATTTACCGCAAGGGGTTGCGCCACTCGAACGCGGATGCATTGTCACGGTTGCCGACGCGTACGGAATGCGCATGTCAGTTGGGATCGGCGCGGTGTAAACCTTCTGTCGATGTCCCCGCGGAAGTAGTGCTAGCCGCCACGGATACTACGGGGGTCGACGCCCCCACGGGGAGGGACTCGCTGTTAGCATTGCCTCTCATCGAGTGGGGCCGTCTGCAAATGGCCGACAGCTCCCTACTCGCGCTACGTCGGAAGGTTAACGTTCCCGAGGGCGGGGAAACGCGGGTCGGTTCCTGGGTGTGCAGACAGGGCCTCTTGATGAAGTGGGACTCCATGTCCCGGCGTCACATGCTTGTGGTGCCAGTTGCTGTACGGGGTAAGGTCGTCCTGGCTGCCCATGAACGACTCATGCATCTGGGGTTTCATAAAACGCTCGCCCTCATTCAGCGAGACTACTATTGGCCTGGGATGGGCAGTGACGTGGCGAACATTCTTAAGGGGTGTGTAGGGTGCGCTAAAAGAAAACCGCCACAAATAGCGGCTAATCCACCGCTTCAATCCATTCAAGTTTCGCGCACGAACGAATTGGTCGCGCTAGACATCTTGGGGCCCTTTCCCACTACACCTCGGGGAAATAAGTTCCTGCTGGTTGGCGTAGAGTACTTCACCCGCTGGCCCATGGCGTGGCCACTCGCCAACCAGTCGGCTGCGGCGGTGCCGGACGCCTTTGTCCAAGGTTACGTTTTGGACAAAGGCGCCCCCGAACGCTTGCTGACGGATCAAGGGAAAAACTTTTCGAGTGTTTTGTTGCGCGAGGTGTGCGACCTGTTGGGTACAAAGAAAGTACGTACCTCCCCGTACCACCCGCAGACTGACGGTATGGTTGAACGTCTGAACAGGACGATTACGTCTATGCTGTGCCAACAGGTATGCGACGACCAGGTGGATTGGGACTTACAGGTACCGGGGGTACTAGCGGCCTATCGGATGGCACCCCATGCGGCGACGGGGTTTTCTCCATTTTTTCTGATGTATGGGCGGGAGGCTGATCCGGCCATGGACGTCCAACTGGGGATTTCACAGCCACGTGCGAAATCAAAATTGGCAGACCACATTAAGTTTAACATCGCCAAATTGGCTGAGGCGCGGGAGGCTGCGAGGTTGAATTCACGCTCTCGGCAGATCGCGAACGAGCGATTGCGTGAACGGAAGGTGCATACGCACAATTGGGAACCGGGCGATAAGGCCTGGCTGCATTGTCCACACGCACCGTTGGCTACGTCCCCCAAACTGTTGAGACCATGGAGGGGACCGGTGGAAATTGTGCGGGTTGCACGACCCCAGAGTATACAGATTAAATGGGGAAAACGCCGTTGGTACGTGCACTCCTCCCGACTGAAACCCTACGCGGCACCACGTGACCCCGGGTTGTGCCGTGACGACCGAGCGTGTGATGTGACCGTCGACTCGGGGAGGGATGTGTCGCAGGCTGATCCTCACGTGTCTCCACCTGACCCACCCCCAGGTGTCTCGGACCTGACGGCTGTTGACCGTCGGGAACCGGAACCCCGCGGCTCGCACGGAGCCCCGATGCCTGGCCCATGCCTTCCTGAACTGCCGGCGCCGCCGGATGGCCAACTGCGTCCTGTGCCGTACGACGGTCCGGCAAGGCGGACTCGGTCAAGGACGCAACACTTTTCATGAAAAAAAAAAAAAAAAAATTCTTTTTTTGTTAAAGCCCGACTTCGTTGCCGGCTTCCCCCTCTGCCGGGGTAATGTCCCGTTCAAGGGACGCTCGGACATCGGGACGCTGCATGAGTCGGAGAGAAAAGAAGAGAAAATGATTAAAGAAATTTTTTTTTATTGTTACTCTTTCCGCATACACAGTATCGTTGCCACTCGCCGGATTGTGCATGTTGTTCTTGTTGCGGGTGTGGCGGTTGCTGGGTTTTGCGGATTGCGGTGTTCATGTTGTGTTGTTAGGGTTTGTGTTATGTTACGGGGCACACGTGGGGGGTGAAGGGGTGTTGTATGTTTTATTAGCAGCCGGGTCGGCTGCGAGCTATGTGGTAGGGGGTGATGTAGTGGTGGTATTGACGTGCGCCGGGAGTGATGGATCACGGGGCGCGGGGTTGGGCACGCGGTGTGGGCGTGGCAGGGACGCGCGCGCCGGTGGTGAGGCGCGCTCACACAAGCTGGGAAAAGAGGATCGTAGCGAGTGCGCAGTGATTGGTCAGATAAGTGAGTACTCTCAGCGACGTCCGCAGGAGGGGTATAAAGGGGGACGTGCGAGAGCACTCGTGGTCAGTGTTAACCAGTTGAAGACCGAAGACGGGGTGGAGGAGGTAGGGGCCCTGTGTGGCTCGGAGCCGAGACTGGGGGGACCGTAGTCCGACGCCCGTGTGGGTCGGGACGGTGGTACCCAGAGCCGAGACGGGCACCCCGGCTGGGTGTGTCCCGGAAGGCTACAGGGCGTAAGAGCCCGTGTCAGTACAGCTGAGTGGGTGTTGGTCACCCGTGTAGCTGAGTGGGTGTTAGTCACCCGTGTAGCTGAGTGGGTGTTGGTCACCCGTGTAGCTGAGTGGGTGTTAGTCACCCGTGTAGCTGAGTGGGTGTTGGTCACCCGTGTAGCTGAGTGGGTGTTGGTCACCCGTGTAGCTGAGTGGGTGTTGGTCACCCGTGTAACGAAGTTGTAGTTGAGTGGGTGTCCGTCACCCGTGTAGCTAAGTGGGTGTTGGTCACCCGTGTAACGAAGTAGGGTGTTAGTCATCCGTGTAACTACAAGTTGGTGAAAATAAAGAGTGTGCTACCCGTGAAGTCGTCTCCTGCCGAGTTACTACTTTACACTTGCGCAGCTCTCGTCCCCCGCCCCCTCACTCTGGAGGAGCCCTCATAGCGCCTCATAAGCAGCGACATTTGGAGGCTTGATGCCTCTTCTCTGTGCACCTGATGAAGACCGCTTGTGTTGCGATCGAAATGTCGTGGTTTTTTCTTTTATTATTTTCAATGTATTATTTTGCTTTTTTTGTTTTTCTATCTACGTGACTTTACCGAAAGAACCAAGAATATGAGTTCCTGCAGTCACGAACGTTTTAAGTCACAAGAATGATTCTGCCCAATTTTTTTTGTTTAATCTGTATGCAGCGCGGGGGCGTAGAGGGGGGGGGTCATCCCTCGCCCCACTGACTAACCTCTCGTCGCCACACGAGAATAATATAATAGAACCCCGCTGCAAAGGGAGGTTAATGAGTCTCTAGGAAATCTCCACGGAGCAAAGGCCATAGGACACGGACCTCCACGGACGTTTTGGACATTGAGGAATTTCCAATCCAAATCCTCCAGACTTGTTGGCACCTGAAAAAGCAGCCTTGTCGTCACATCGAAACTTGCTGACACAGTCTTTACATCACCCCCATTCGGATCTCCACGGACGGCGAGAGCAATAGGAACGGGGAACATTGCCACTGGTGATATATATATATATTTTTTTTTAACAGTAATAAGTCGAAGGTTAGCTATATCTTCAAACTCAGGATATCAAAATATAACTTGAATAAGAAGCACGGATCCCTGGTGAAAACAGACGGGGAACAAAGTTTAATAAAACCCTCGGAATACCTGTGGTAACAACTATGGTATATCTAAACATAAACCAAATAATAATTATGAAGTATTAGACCGTAGGGTCATTCAGAAGAGATACAAGGCGAAATAGGTCAATCACACACGACCAAGATGATATGTATTCCATAGGATCAGAGCCTCCAAACCGCCTTTATCTTCCAGCAATCTGACACAACACATAATAGCAACACATTACGTATGAAGGGAGTGCGCCTCCACGCGAGATAGCAAACACCAGAAAGGAATTCCAACCACGAGGGAAGAGGGCGGGGGAACGCAAACCAAAACATAAACATGGTGATGGAAAAGCAGCTGGACAAAGGTCAAAAGGAATACCCCCCCCCCCCGATTCTAGATTGATTATGGCAGGAAATTAGAAAACCAGTGGCTCTACTCGGGAGGTGGGGGGCAACCAAACGGCTGCCCCTTTGTGAGGAGGCGAGCCGAGGTGGAAGATTTTCGAATATAACGACGAGCAGAAACCACGCACAGTAGTACATGAACCGCACGGTCACCTTTTCTGCTACGCTTTATCACTTCCATTTGAACATCAAGCCTAATATCACTGCGCTGTTTCTTACGCTCACCACCTGCACTGTCACTACGCCTGCTACTCATTGTTGAAGGTTTGAAACGATATTTTGCAATTAAAAATTCCACGCCGATCTACAACGAGCACTCGTAGCTACGCACACGAGAGAACACGATGGGTCTGAGAAAATGGCGGCGCATGTGTGAGTTGTACAGTACCTCTACACCCCCCCCCCCCCGAGAGCCGAGTGTAAAACAACGTATATCGATACGACGTATTGTATCGGGGACCCCCTGCACATAGACGAGTCCCTTCTAGTGTCACGATTGTGCCGTCGTTGTTGCACCACAGGCGAGCGGGGCTCCCCAGGGGCGGCGGGCGCGCCGGGCCTGGTGAGCGATGCTGCGCTGGTGCGCGAGGACGGGGGATTCCTGCTCGTCAAGCACAGCCAATCGATCGAGGTGCCTGCATGCCCCCAGGGCATGGCGCGCCTGTGGGATGGCTTCAGCCTCCTCTACATCGAGGGCAATGAGAAGGCCGCCTCGCAGGACCTGGGTGAGGGCGGCGCCCCGTCGCTAAGATCATCGCCATCTTCACCGCCGTCGTCGCCGTCATCGCCATCGCCGCGATCGTCGTCATCGTCATCGGCCCCGACACATCATCGCCGTCGCGAACACCATCACCCCCCCCGCCTGCCTATTCCCACTCTGCCACTGCCCCCCCCCCCCCACCACCGTATCTGCCCCCCCCCCAGGCCTGGCGGGATCGTGCCTGCCGCGCTTCAGCACGATGCCCTTCGTCTACTGCGGCGTGGACGCCGTGTGCAGCTACGCGTCGCGCAACGACAAGTCCTTCTGGCTCTCCAGCACCGCCGCCATTCCCATGATGCCCGTGTCCGGAGACGACATCCGCCCCTACATTAGTCGGTACGCGCGCGGCCCACAGCTTGAGGAACCCGAGGTTCAAGTTCCAACTCGAGCGACTTGGCTGCGCTACAAACCCGGCAACTCGAGTTTGATTCCCGCTCCCAGCCAACACCGGTGACGATTATCTGAACCGATCCTGGGCTTCCCGTAGGTCGACTCTGCCTAAAATTAGTACCTGGTGCGATGTGTAAACATTGCCACTGTGGAGACAAAGGCGGTTCTCACAAACAGCACTTGCCCCAACAGTCTGTTAAGGCTATATGGGGGATCTTTGTCTTGTGTAACTAACAACCAGGTTGGTGAAAGACGCTGCTCTATGAATGTGTGTTGGAGTCTGACACCGCATGTAGCCAACCGCGCTAAATCGGCGGTGCGGAGAAAGGACAAAAAGCAGCTCTGGGAAGTTGGAGGCAACAACGGAGGGCAGAGGAGCGACGCTTACAACACCGAGCGGAGCGCTGGGTGGCTAAAGCGCAAACAGTTGGCACAGTGGGGAACAGAGTTGGTGCATCTACCAGTCAACTCAGTCAGTCCATCCCATGGCACCTGGGTCTGTTCCGGGACCTCCCGCGAGCAGTGAGCCTTCAACACTTCACGTGGCTTCAAAGTGCACCTGGCCTGGCACAAGCGCTATGGTGACGTCACCAACGCTTAGTGGTTGTTGTGTTACGTATGTGTGACGAGTTCACGATAAGCAGAGAAGGCACCTGAGGAGTTGCTGCACCTGGGCCGTGAGCTCATGGCCGGCTCCGGTTCGGCAGAGGTGGTGTCTCTCTCAATATTTCTGGCGGCATTATCTTTTCACCGGCTGTGTAATGCTGTGTTGAAGCTACCTGGTCTAATGCTCCACGCAAAAAAAAACTCCAGGTCTTCTCTCCCACAGTTTTAAACATTCAGGTTGGCCTGCCTACGATCCATCCGGGTTTAACGAGCCTGGATTGCGTGCGGAGCTCACAGATCCTTGAAAGATCTGGACACATTCCCATCAGTGAGCTCCTCCGGCAAGCGAGGCCTCGTTGTCTGGGTCACGTAGCCCGCATGCCCAGACACCGCGTGCCCAAGTGGCTTCTGTTTGGCCGGAGAAGAGGGGGCTAAACGGGCACGGCACAGGCAGGAGAAGAGATGGAGCTGATGCAGTGCGAGGGTTAGAGATGGAGTCGGGGGTCACCACGGGTCGCGCTGTGCCCCCAGGTGCTCGGTGTGCGAGGCGCCGACACAAGCGATCGCTGTGCACAGCCAAGACAGTGAAATTCCACGGTGCCCGCCAGGGTGGCGAAGCCTCTGGATCGGCTACTCCTTTCTCATGGTATGGCTCCCCACCGCCTCTCCCACGCTGCACCCCCCCCCCAAAATACCCCAAACACGCGCATGTGTAACGATTCTGCAACGCTCGCCCACCTGCGCCCGCATTCCTCCTCCGCTGCGTCAATCGGCGACACCGCTCTCCTTTCAGTGCCGGTTTTTCTCAGCTAGGTTTCGGGCGAGAACACTTTGATCGACGCGTCCGGTTTTTTCCTCTCAGCGAGCCCCTCTTGGCTATGTGGAATTTTGTTGTGCGCACGAAGTCGCCATAACGAGGGTGAGAGTATATCCCCCCCACCCCCACTTCGTTACGGACGGAGCGACGCGCCGGTGTAAACAAAACGGTGGTGCGGCCGCCGCCCCGTCTTGACGCGGGGAGGATAAGATCGTCGCTGCACGCCCCTCACGATGCGCCTCGTATCATTTACATTACGATGAAAAACTATTAACTATTTTTATTTTACCAGGTGAGGCCCACTGAGCTGTATAGCTCTTTTTCAGAAGTGGCCTGGCCACAAATAATTGATCAATGAAATGGCTTATCACGTGGAAATGTATAGCAGCCAAATATTCAAAACGCACGTTGATTTTAAATGTGGAGGGAAAAACCGGAGGACCCGGAGAAAAAGCCATGCGACCACGTGGACAACATGCAACGTCCGTCCATATATATTCAAACAACGACCTCCTGTATTCCGGGCGAGGTAGTGAACATGTCGCCACCACTGCACCCCAATTAGAAAGGGCACCCCCAGTGGCAGATGTCCATGTGCAGCACGAGGTGACTCGGCGCCTGTCCCGCAGTGAGCGAGCATCAATCTGCCAGTAGGGGGCGATGATCGCTGCTGTGTGTGCGTGTGATCCAACTTGAAGGGCGGTGGTGTAGTGGTGAGCGCGCTGCGCTACGAACCCGAGTTCGATTCCCTCTCACGGCCATAACCAGTGACGATTATCTGAACTGGTCCTGGGCCTCCCCTAGGTCGACTCAGCGTAACATGAGTACCTGGTGCATTCTGTAAATATTGCTATTAGGGAGACCGAGGCTGTCCACTCACCAGCACTTGCCCTTGCCCTAACAGTCGGCTATACGGGGGATATTTGCCTTGTCTTTTATCCCAATTGAGTCATTTGCGGTGTGATTCACGAATTTGGCAAATTTGGAGCCCGTGACTCCGGCACAGGCTGGCCGGCTTCTGCGAATCACGTCACGGATCTTTAACGTCCACAGCGAGTGGAGGACGAGACATCGCGTGCTGCTCTTTTGTGGTTCGTGCAATCGACTGGGGACGGTCCGGCGGCAGGGGCCGGCGCGGCAGTCACATTCGAACCCAGATGCCTCCCAGCAGCAAGCGTTTGAGGTCCGATTCCTGACACGGGCGCCTTTCTGTGCAGATCATGTGCTTTGAAGAAGGGCCATAGCCCAAAACGTCAGTTAATACTTTTCGGACCTCAGTTTTATTGATGAATGCATTGAGTTTCTGTGTGGAGTTTGTATTCTCTCCCCCTGCTCTGCATGGGTTTCCTCCCTTAGCAAAACCTACACACACAGTGGAGCTGGTATTTGGACAGCGAGACTGTCCTGGGTGAACAAGTAAAATCATCATCATAATAGTCAGAGCTGGAAAGCAATAAAAAACGCGCGTCGGGCTGATTGAGAAAGTGGTTCCCTCTCCCCGTCTCCTCATCTCCTCATCTCCCCCTCTCTCCCCGTGATCCCCCCAGCACATGGCGTCGGCGGAAGGTGGCGGGCAGCCGCTGGAGTCTCCGGGCTCGTGCCTTGAGGACTTCCGCACGTCGGCCTTCCTCGAGTGCCAGGGCCCGCGTGGCACCTGCCACTACTTTGCGGACGAGCAAAGCTTCTGGCTGACGCGCGTAGCGGCCGCCTCCCAGTTCGCGCCGCCGCGGCCCGGCACCATCAAGGACGCGTTCGGGCAGCGGTCACGCATCAGCCGCTGCCAGGTCTGCTTGAAGAACGTGTGAGCGGCGGCGGCGAGGCGGCCGTGCGGTGGGAGGAAGGGGGGGCGCCACCACGATGGGCCCCGCCGGTCCAGCCGGGGCCTTTGGGGGGGGGTGCAGGGGGGGGGGCATCTCACGTCCGTGCTCGTCCATTACTTATCAAGCCGACGGAGGCTCGATGCCCCCCACCCCACCCTGGTCAGGATTGTGTCCGCGGGCAGTGTTATGACGGAATGGTGTTACCGGTGACGTCTAATTTGCGTTCGTGACTCCGGCGCGCGGGTCTCACACTCCGGCGCGGGGGGGGGGGGCACCACGGAGATGCAGGAAGGAGCGCGGCACCGGCGCCGCCTACGTGCGCCCGACCTCTGTGGTCCCGTATTGGGAATTTGTTGGCGACTCGAATGGCGGGTGTCGTCTCGTGCTGGGAGAGGCTCCCAGCTCACCGCGGTACCCCATGGAGTCTCCTGGAAATTTGGTCGCCTCGGCGGAATCCCGCTCGGTGCTGCGGCTGCGATTGTGACAGGGAATCGACTCGAAGTTCGGCGTTCCCTCAGGTGGCCAATCGGTGAGCGCCATTTGCCTGCTGCTGTTGGCTGCTGTATGTACTTCGGTGCTGTAGATTAAATGGGAATTGCTACGACTGGTGCTATTTTATATTCTCCCCCCACCACGCCCCGTCTGCTCTGAGTGGAACGCTCCATCACACTCGGGTGGAGGAGCATTACATTGCTGGCAGGGGGTGAGTGGGACACAGCTACATAGGGACGTGAAGCTAACTCGGCGGCAATGGACCCCAGCGTCTCCCTGTATTGCATGTCCTTCACGACGTAGTTATACGCAATGCCTTCATTTACTCATCATCATCATCAACCATGACCAATCCACTGCGAGATGAAGACCTCTCCAAGCCACCACCACCTCTCATGATCCGGCCATCGAGTAATCCACCTGGCAGATCTCCCCCCCTTGGTGGATGTTCTCGGATTGCTCTTGCCGCTGGACGACTATCGTCACGCCGTGCTCTCGGTGCAGCTAAAACAGAAACTGAAACCATTGGTGCTTACAGGTGTGAGCTAGGAGCACCAAGTCTCAAGATCGAATGTAAAAGGAAGGCATGTTCAGGGTTATGTGCGTGTTGAGTAGCGCGTGTGTCTCTGTTTTTGTGTCTGTTTATTGTGGGGAACGGTGGCACAGTGGTTAGCATGCTGAGTTACAAACCCGGCGACCAGCGTTTGATTCCTGCTCACGGTCAACACCAGCGACGATTTTCTGGACCAGTCCCGGGCCTCTCCTGGGTCTACTCAGCCTTAAATGAGTACCCGGTGTGATGTGTCATCATCACTAGGGCGACAAAGGCGGCCGGGCGTGGTTCTAGCCACCCACCCCCTCGTGTACTGTACCGACCTTCATAGGTGCTACTTGCTAACAGCACTTGCCCCAACAGGGGGATCTTTGTCTTTGTTTGATTAAAGGTAACCCTACACCTGCCCTGCTCGCCCTGTGAGTTTCTTGAGCGCTTGAGCCTTGGTGTAGACGAGAGGCAGCAGCACGGCAAGCTGGTTATTGTGACACACAGGCGGAGAGAAACACACAGGCGGAGAGAAACACAGGCGGAGAGAAACACACAGACGGAGAGAAACACACAGGCGGAGAGAAACACACAGGCGGAGAGAAACACACAGACGGAGAGAAACACACAGGCGGAGAGAAACACACCGACGGAGAGAAACACACAGACGGAGAGAAACACACAGGCGGAGAGAAACACACCGACGGAGAGAAACACACAGGCGGAGAGAAACACACAGACGGAGAGAAACACACCGACGGAGAGAAACACAGGCGGAGAGAAACACACAGACGGAGAGAAACACACAGGCGGAGAGAAACACACAGGCGGAGAGAAACACACAGACGGAGAGAAACACACAGGCGGAGAGAAACACACAGGCAGAGAGAAACACAGGCGGAGAGAAACACACAGGCGGAGAGAAACACACAGGCGGAGAGAAACACACAGGCGGAGAGAAACACAGGCGGAGAGAAACACACAGACGGAGAGAAACACACAGGCGGAGAGAAACACACAGGCGGAGAGAAACACAGGCGGAGAGAAACACACAGGCGGAGAGAAACACAGGCGGAGAGAAACACACAGACGGAGAGAAACACAGGCGGAGAGAAACACACAGGCAGAGAGAACACACAGGCGGAGAGAAACACACAGACGGAGAGAAACACACAGACGGAGAGAAACACACAGGCGGAGAGAAACACACAGGCGGAGAGAAACACACCGACGGAGAGAAACACACCGACGGAGAGAAACACACAGGCGGAGAGAAACACACAGGCGGAGAGAAACACACAGGCGGAGAGAAACACACAGGCGGAGAGAAACACACAGGCGGAGAGAAACACACCGAAGGAGAGAAACACACCGACGGAGAGAAACACACAGGCGGAGAGAAACACACCGACGGAGAGAAACACACAGGCGGAGAGAACACACAGGCGGAGAGAAACACACAGGCGGAGAGAAACACACCGAAGGAGAGAAACACACCGACGGAGAGAAACACACAGGCAGAGAGAAACACACAGGCAGAGAGAAACACACAGGCAGAGAGAAACACACCGACGGAGAGAAACACACAGGCAGAGAGAAACACACAGGCAGAGAGAAACACACAGGCGGAGAGAAACACACCGACGGAGAGAAACACACAGGCGGAGAGAAACACACAGGCGGAGAGAAACACACAGGCGGAGAGAAAACACACAGACGGAGAGAAACACACAGGCGAGAGAAACACACAGGCAGAGAGAAACACACAGACGGAGAGAAACACACAGGCGGAGAGAAACACACAGGCGGAGAGAAACACACAGGCGGAGAGAAACACACAGACGGAGAGAAACACATAGACGGAGAGAAACACACAGGCGGAGAGAAACACACAGACGGAGAGAAACACACAGGCGGAGAGAAACACACAGGCGGAGAGAAACACACAGACGGAGAGAAACACACAGGCGGAGAGAAACACACAGGCAGAGAGAAACACAGGCGGAGAGAAACACACAGGCGGAGAGAAACACACAGGCGGAGAGAAACACACAGGCGGAGAGAAACACAGGCGGAGAGAAACACACAGACGGAGAGAAACACACAGGCGGAGAGAAACACACAGGCGGAGAGAAACACAGGCGGAGAGAAACACACAGGCGGAGAGAAACACAGGCGGAGAGAAACACACAGGCGGAGAGAAACACAGGCGGAGAGAAACACACAGGCAGAGAGAAACACACAGGCGGAGAGAAACACACAGACGGAGAGAAACACACAGACGGAGAGAAACACACAGGCGGAGAGAAACACACAGGCGGAGAGAAACACACACGACGGAGAGAAACACACCGACGGAGAGAAACACACAGGCGGAGAGAAACACACAGGCGGAGAGAAACACACAGGCGGAGAGAAACACACAGGCGGAGAGAAACACACAGGCGGAGAGAAACACACCGAAGGAGAGAAACACACCGACGGAGAGAAACACACAGGCGGAGAGAAACACACCGACGGAGAGAAACACACAGGCGGAGAGAAACACACAGGCGGAGAGAAACACACAGGCGGAGAGAAACACACCGAAGGAGAGAAACACACCGACGGAGAGAAACACACAGGCAGAGAGAAACACACAGGCAGAGAGAAACACACAGGCAGAGAGAAACACACCGACGGAGAGAAACACACAGGCAGAGAGAAACACACAGGCAGAGAGAAACACACAGGCGGAGAGAAACACACCGACGGAGAGAAACACACAGGCGGAGAGAAACACACAGGCGGAGAGAAACACACAGGCGGAGAGAAACACACAGACGGAGAGAAACACACAGGCGGAGAGAAACACACAGGCAGAGAGAAACACACAGACGGAGAGAAACACACAGGCGGAGAGAAACACACAGGCGGAGAGAAACACACAGGCGGAGAGAAACACACAGACGGAGAGAAACACACAGACGGAGAGAAACACACAGGCGGAGAGAAACACACAGGCGGAGAGAAACACACAGGCGGAGAGAAACACACAGACGGAGAGAAACACACAGGCGGAGAGAAACACACAGGCGGAGAGAAACACACAGACGGAGAGAAACACACAGGCGGAGAGAAACACACCGAAGGAGAGAAACACACAGGCGGAGAGAAACACACAGGCGGAGAGAAACACACAGGCAGAGAGAAACACACAGGCGGAGAGAAACACACCGAAGGAGAGAAACACACAGGCGGAGAGAAACACACAGGCAGAGAGAAACACACAGGCGGAGAGAAACACACAGGCGGAGAGAAACACACAGGCGGAGAGAAACACACCGAAGGAGAGAAACACACAGGCAGAGAGAAACACACAGGCGGAGAGAAACACACAGGCGGAGAGAAACACACAGGCAGAGAGAAACACACCGAAGGAGAGAAACACACAGGCGGAGAGAAACACACAGGCAGAGAGAAACACACAGGCGGAGAGAAACACACAGGCGGAGAGAAACACACAGGCGGAGAGAAACACACAGGCGGAGAGAAACACACAGGCGGAGAGAAACACACAGGCGGAGAGAAACACACCGAAGGAGAGAAACACACAGGCGGAGAGAAACACACAGGCGGAGAGAAACACACAGGCGGAGAGAAACACACCGAAGGAGAGAAACACACCGACGGAGAGAAACACACAGGCGGAGAGAAACACACAGGCAGAGAGAAACACACAGGCGGAGAGAAACACACCGACGGAGAGAAACACACAGGCGGAGAGAAACACACAGGCAGAGAGAAACACACAGGCGGAGAGAAACACACAGGCGGAGAGAAACACACCGACGGAGAGAAACACACAGGCAGAGAGAAACACACAGGCGGAGAGAAACACACCGACGGAGAGAAACACACAGGCAGAGAGAAACACACAGGCAGAGAGAAACACACAGGCGGAGAGAAACACACCGACGGAGAGAAACACACAGGCGGAGAGAAACACACAGGCAGAGAGAAACACACCGACGGAGAGAAACACACAGGCGGAGAGAAACACACAGGCGGAGAGAAACACACAGGCGGAGAGAAACACACAGGCGGAGAGAAACACACAGGCGGAGAGAAACACACAGGCGGAGAGAAACACACAGGCGGAGAGAAACACACAGGCGGAGAGAAACACACAGGCGGAGAGAAACACACAGGTGGAGAGAAACACACAGGCGGAGAGAAACACACAGGCGGAGAGAAACACACAGGCGGAGAGAAACACACAGGCGGAGAGAAACACACCGACGGAGAGAAACACACAGGCGGAGAGAAACACACCGACGGAGAGAAACACACCGATGGAGAGAAACACACAGGCGGAGAGAAACACACCGACGGAGAGAAACACACAGGCGGAGAGAAACACACCGACGGAGAGAACACACCGACGGAGAGAAACACACAGGCGGAGAGAAACACACCGACGGAGAGAAACACACCGACGGAGAGAAACACAACAGGCGGAGAGAAACACACCGACGGAGAGAAACACACAGGCGGAGAGAAACACACCGACGGAGAGAAACACACCGACGGAGAGAAACACACCGATGGAGAGAAACACACAGGCGGAGAGAAACACACCGACGGAGAGAAACACACAGGCGGGGAGAAACACACCGACGGAGAGAAACACACAGGCGGAGAGAAACACACCGACGGAGAGAAACACACAGGCGGAGAGAAACACACCGACGGAGAGAAACACACCGATGGAGAGAAACACACAGGCGGAGAGAAACACACCGGAAACCGGGAGAGAACACACAGGCGGAGAGAAACACACCGACGGAGGAAGAAACCACCGACGGAGAGGAAACACACAGGCGGACGAGGAGAAACACACCGACGGAGAGAAACACACAGGCGGAGAGAAACACACCGATGGAGAGAAACACACCGACGGAGAGAAACACACCGACGGAGAGAAACACACAGGCGGAGAGAAACACACCGACGGAGAGAAACACACAGGCGGAGAGAAACACACCGACGGAGAGAAACACACCGACGGAGAGAAACACACAGGCGGAGAGAACACACACCGACGGAGAGAAACACACAGGCGGAGAGAAACACACCGACGGAGAGAAACCACACCGACGGAGAGAAACCACCGATGGAGAGAAAACACACAGGCGGAGAGAAACACACCGACGGAGAGAAACACCAGGCGGGGAGAACACACCGACGGAGAGAACACACGATGGAGAGAAACACACAGGCGGAGAGAAACACAGGCGGGGAGAAACACACCGACGGAGAGAAACACACCGCGGAGAGAAACACACGACGGAGAGAAACACACAGGCGGAGAGAAACACACAGGCGGA